ATTGTTTTTGATATTTATATTCGCATAGAGAGTCCTTTTTTCACCACCGGTGACAATTCCAAAAATGGGTCACGCGCATTACGCGCCAGAAGAGACGAAGCAACGTTCACACGTTGGAAACGATGATAATCGGAGAGCTCGTGAGGCACCCAAACACCTTCTTTATGTTTAATGAGAGACATGCAAATTTAGGGCCATTTCATGAGTGTGTTGCCTTGGGTTAGACTCAACAAGCGTCTTCAGAGCATCAGTATTAATTCCAAAATGTCGGTCCCTGCCATCACAGTTTTTAAGGGTAAAGTCACCTGGTCGAAATTTTCTGAACCATTGTTGACACTTCGACCGTTCAAAACATTTCCATAAACTTCTTTGATATTCTTTGTGGCTACAGAGGTGTTGTTTCCCTTCTTGTATTCAAACAGCATTACATGCCAAATGTGTGTCTCGTGTTGTGCCATCATTATAAAGGATTAGAGTATACTAAACTTTACACATTATATAGGCTACACTAACGTGATGCTTAGGCAGTTCATTTAACTATTATACGTGATGTATGTTTTGTGGGGTATGGTTAATGAAAGCATTATAAAATGCAACATTAATTTCTTGATGACCTAATACAAATACCTTCTAAGGGTGTGAAATTAATTGCTGCTGCTTACCATAAATGTATGCACTGAAAACATGTTAAGTACTATCTTGCTCACAAAACAGATCCACTTGAACAAACTTACATGCAGTGGTCTGGATTGTGGTAATTTATATATATATATATATTTATATATATATAGCACAAAAACCTGTGTCTGTTTATCTATTCATTATCTAACTACTCCTAAATCTCTGGTCTAGTGTCAACCAAACTTTGTGGGATGATAGTTTGGAACAACGGGAATATTAATGGGCAGGGTTCACAACCACCTCCATTATTGCTGTTATTGAACATTTATTACCTTTGATGTAAGTTAATGTTAACTACATTCATAGATGGAGCCACATCCTTACACCAAATTTAAAAAAAAACAACTTATATTTTCTATAATACAACATATACACACATTTTGGGGAGAGGATGCATAAATGTCTTGTATATATTTCAGAGAGTGCACTAGCACTCTTTATGGAAGAATGCAATGAAAAAAATGGTCACCATTATTGCAATAATACAAAAACTCAAATGAAGCTTCTACTACAACAGCCACAATAACACTGATATGAAGAGTTGTTTCTTGAGTTAAACTAATTTTCTACTTCGACCTATGACCTTACAACTTTATCATGTAAGACAGTTCTGCAGCCAGTGATCATCAATTAATTAATAACATGAAACAGTGTAGAAGGACATTAACAGCTAAGTGTTTTGAGCAGTTAACATAAAGCCCCCATACCACCACTACTTTGGCTGCTACCTCTTCATACAAAGTCACCCTGACCATTGCACAGTGTATATCATGTCTTAAGTATATACATGGTGAGTTTGAAAGCATATACAAAACTTTGGGTGAGGTAATAATGACTACTGTAATAATATATTATGTTCTCAATAAATTGTGGGAAAGTTAGGACTTTATGTGTTATTTATCATCAGCAAAAGGACTCGTTCCCAGTGACGGAAAAGTTTAAGTTTATCTAACAAAAGTACCTGACCCCAGTTATGGGAAAAGTTTAAGTTAATCTATCAATTTAAATTATTTCATGAACTTTAAAAAAGTTAATTGTGTTGCATTCATGGTTTCACTCAGAGCCGAATCTCTGAGCTACTTATACTGCCCACTGTGAAAAGTAATTGTTGAGCATTTTAGTCATGCTAAGAGCTGCTCAGCATTAACATATGGTAAATCTACCTTTTAATTCCTTAAGTTAGGTCATATTTTGAAATGTGAATGATAGTGTGATTAATTCCTAACAATTTTAGTGTAGAATATTCTACTTGTGAAATCAAATTTGGTATCAACATTATTCATGCCTGTTCTCCCGTCATTTCAAAAATGAATGTTGAGCTTATCCTGCATGCTCAGTTTTTAAATGCAGTGCGGAAAGCAGCCACTGTAAACGGGATACAGATGAATATATATATGATAGCATCTAACCCCCCACATTTGTTTTTTAGTTAATAACTCAGACAAAGGATGGGTACCTCAGCTTGTGTAGAATAAATAAATCTTTTAAATTTTGGTATGTATTCAATACTTGAAAGGTATTCTTGTAGTGAAATATGAAGATGTTAATTATTAGCAACTTATTTTTACAGTGGAATTGACCAACTTTTTTACTTTACTTTTTTTTTACCTATTTAAATATATTTTAATATCTATATGTCACTTGCTTCTGCCTATGTGGACTATCGAGATAATCACTGAAATTCATTGTCATTATCTTATAACTTTTTAAAATTGTGTATATTTATGTGCACACATTTGTAATTTTATTTTATTTTTCAGTATTGGCTGGACCAAGATAAACCTATGTGTCGACAGCTGGGGCTGTCTCTTGTTAACCCTGTGATGTACTTTCGTGTTAAATTTTATACCCCTGACCCAGCTCATCTGGAAGAAGAATATACAAGGTACACTTTATGTATTGAGTATTAAAATTACATATTTATTTTCTGATTATAGATTGAGTAGTATTGAGGAAATTGATGTATGTATGTATGTTAATTCTTCATCAGAGTTTGTAGACTACAAGGAGAATGAACTAATGCTAAACTTGAACTAAAAATGTTTATTAAAATTTTAAAACTCATAGTTATATTGGATTTAAAATTGTATTACTCTTATCACTTTTTCTAATTGTAAAATCTTTTTAAGTACAGTTTTATGGTTCTAAAAAAAATTAAATTGCTGTCTTGTGTTGATTGTCTGAATCCTCAAGAATACTTGTACTATAGACCATTTATTTATTTATTAATTGTCTCGTATCTCTTTAGAAGAGAGCTGCTTGAACTGTATTGAGACTAAATGATCTGTGTAGGTAATAACTTCATCATGTATTAAATACTGTGTTCATTAATAATTGTGTTTGAAACATATCACACAGAAATATCAGTTTATTTTGTCCATAAATTTCCAGTTTACTATTCATTAATGCGGCTCTGAATTGTTTGTGGTGTAATTTATTTTGATACTATTTCCTGTTATTATGTCGTCATTTATATTTTCTTAAAGGTATCTTTTTAGTCTACAAATTAAGCAAGATCTTGCCCAAGGAGCATTACAGTGTAATGACAATACAGCTGCTCTTATTGCTTCCTATATTGTTCAAGGTAAGAAAAACGTTTTCCATGAAACTGCAGTATCTAAATAACCAGAACATCATATTTCTTATGTGCACCTTTTGTTTTTCATGACTAAAGATGAGATCGGTTAAAAAACATCTCATGTAGGAATACATTGTTTGTTTATATCTTCATTATAGATTGAGAAAAAAAACCAACTAACATGTATTGGTTAAGTGAACTTGAGCAAGTTATCTAATATCTGCATGAGAAATTAAACAGTTAGAAGCATATGGGATGACAAATATGTACTAAACAATTGTTATGTAATACTTGGAAATGTCGAACAATTCCAGTTTTTGATGTTAATCACTGGCAAGCCAAACGTATGCTGCTGTGTTTTTTATGCCAATCAACAGCCTTAGAGAAAATTATAAGAAATTTAAATAGTTTTATTATTTTTAGTGATATTTACTTGGTTGTTTAAATATCTAAAAATGCATAAAAGGACTGATTTGATTTTTTTTTTATCAGTAGTGTTGCTAAGCTGTTGGACTTAAATTATCATAATTCTAGATTTTTTATGTGAATCATGTTTGAAAAAATCTTGCCAAGTTGTTGAACATGATTAAAATGTATGAAATAATGTGAACTTTTTAATCTTTGAATTCTCTCCATTAAAACTCATAAGATTAGTTACTAAAAAAACTTTTTTTTTTCTTGGTTTTAGTAAATTTACTCTTGTTTATTTTATTTTTATTTCCCTGACAATTTTAGAATATATATATATATATATATATATATCTTGAGATCATAAGCTACAATTGAAAGTTCTAAAATGGTTGTGTATGTGCTTGATGGAATGTTTTTTGTAGCTTTGTAATGTAGGATTTTTTTATTTCATGGATTTGATCTTATAGATTAAATGGACAGCAAAATAATCACTAAAAACAGTCTGATCAGACTAAAACAAAAATTTGTCATCCTGTCTATTAGGTGCTATTGTTTTATTTTTTAACTTTAATAGTATTTTCTCTTTTCTAGCTGACTGTGGTGATTACAGCTTAGATGATTACCCAGATCATACCTACTTATCTTCATTCAAATTTGTACCTCATCAAGACGATGAATTAGAACGGAAAATCATGGAAAACCACAAGAAACATGCGTATGTTAAATAGTTAAATATTTTTTACAGGTTGACTGTCAAGTGTGACACATGAAGTCTGAGATTATCTCTATTTATCATGATATATCTTCCTAGAATAAACTTGTATATGTATTATTTAGGTGTGATAACCTGCTGTTAATTTGTTGAATATATCTTATTCACTCTGACCATCTCTTTATTGCACATTTTTTTCAGTAGGCACTAATCATCTTGCAACTTACCTGTCAATTCTGACCAGGCTTTTTATTTTGGTTCTGTCCTTCACTAGTTATTTACTTGATTTGTATGTTATTTACACACTTGTCATATCTTGCAGTATTTTGACTCGGTAGTATACTCACAGCTGTTTTTTTTTTCTTTCTTTCTAACAAGCATCCATTTGTGCAACACCATAGTAGTTAATTGTTTGCAGTATTTTGACTACTTTAGCTTGCAGTTTCATACACAAAATTCTAATTTCATAATTATATTCATCCTATTTCATCTTCTATCTCATTTACTCTAACCAGTTGTAACTTGTACCTTGTCCAAATTAACCAATTTTCTCTTGTACTTTGTCGAGCTAGCTGTGTTTCTCCTGCACCCTGTTCACTTTTGCTATCTTTAATATATTTTCATACCACAATTACCATTTTATCTTGTAATTTGCCTATAGTAACCATTTACTATTTTATAGCCAGTGCACATCAGCCAGTTCAGTTATCTTGCTTACTATGTCCTTAGTAGCCAATTCTCTTCTGTATCATATCCTTGGCAGCCAGCGCTCTCCTTTGCCTTTTCTATGGTAGCAAGTTATCTTCTGTAACTTGTATAATTGTTTGTTTATTTTTCTCCTGTACTATGTCTACTAGAATTGGGCAGTTAGTGAAATTTACTAATCAATTAATTGTTGGGCTCGTTACTTGATTACATTCAACTAATCATTTATTCTAACATGAGAATTAGATAGTTGTAATAATTAAAGAAAGTGATAATAGAAACACTAATTTCAATTAGAATATTTTTGGAGTCATGACACTAATTGATTAAGCATTACCCACGAGTTGCTAGCATGTATGCCTCGTGAAACATTTCTATTATAATATTATTGTTATTTATTGTACCTAATCTAATCTTATGCCCGGCATGGACAGGTGGTTAGGGCGTTCGACTCGTAATCTGAGGGTCGCAGGTTCAAATCCCCGTCGCACCAAACATGCCAACCTCCACCTTTGCCTGGTCCCAAGTCCAGGATGAGAAAGGAGGAGGGTTGGGCGCGGGGCTAGCAACTCCACCCCGTAAAAACCAACTTGCTACAAGTAACTGCAACAACAACTTCCGTTGGCGAGGTGTTGTTGTGGCTCTATGCTCCACTGGGAGTTTACAGGAATATAAAAAAAAAAATAACCTTAAAAAACCTGAAAAGATTCCTGTTTTTACATTTTAGTTACTCTATAATTATACTTAAAAAATAAACATGAAAAACAAGAAATAAAATACTTAACCAATCTTCTTTTTTCTTGCTGTCACGTTTCAAAGAGAGTTAACCTTAATTTTTTATAGTATAGATAGTAATGCACTTAATAATTTTTATTTGATTAAATAATACACCAAAGAATATACAATAATAACATACAGAAAGTAGACAAATTCACTTGTCACCTGGCTTTCTAACTACGCGACAAGAGCCATTACAAATTTGTCCAAGCTAGTCATTAACTTTCCCATGGGAACGAATCTTGTACTGTGAGTGAAATTGATGATATTTTGTTCAGAATATAATGTTATGCAGTACATCGTTTGATAGATGAAAAGCTATTGGTTATAAGTAATATATAATGAAACGTAAGAGAGAACTATCAATGAATTGTGAAATAGAAGATGTGACAGGTGGGTGTGGCAGGAGGGGTCTGATTTTCTATTCAATAGCTCTGTAACCAAATAAGATTGAAAGCTATAAAATTATGGTTTGTCTGAGCAATAACGATTTATAGAGAGTAATTTATGTTTAATTTGTACTTTTGAGGGGTGGTGGATAAAATAGGGATGATGACATGCTAAGAGAAAATGTTTCACGTGGGTCACACTGGTGGAAATTCAGGATTATTTTTAATATTGCCTTGTCGAATTAAGAAGTTAATAGTTGTATACTATTAAAATATGGATTATTAGCTAATATTTTATGTTATTCTAATTGGTATAACAAACAAAAAGTAGTCTAATAAAATTTTTAATGTAAGACACTAAAACCTTGTGTTATACACAGTAAAGGTGTACCCATGGAGATAGGGTTAAAAAAAAAACAGTCATGTACAGTAAAAGCATAAATTCCAAAACACACTTACCTCCTCTCATACTTTAGCTTTATTCCAATGAAAGTTTCTATCCTCTGCCCATCTAAGCATTGGTATGAATCTTACCTTGCTGGCTCACTCCAGCCTTTATACCCCACTATATTGCCTATAGCATTTTCAGTCTTTTGATTCCATCCACCTACGTCATTGTGCTTCCTATATTAGATCCGTATATAAGCTCCCCATTATTACTTCCTATTTACTTTTCTTGATGGTAGAACATTACAACAATGGTTTTACGTGCTTGCTGTGGGTTTCTCTCTCGTATTGTATAACTTTAGTTATGCCTATGCTTTGGAAAAATTTTTTTAACCATATTATTGGTTTTGAGTTTATTGTCTATTTTCTTTTATATCAATTAAAAAAACAAGACATTTCAGATATGAATTCTCACATTCACGTCTCTTATATGGAGTCTCCTTGTGCTCCTAGTCTGCCACCTCTGGAGTCTAGCATTGCCCTGGCTTCGGGGGCAGGTCCCTTTTCAGAGAGGTGAAGTCTTACATTAGATCTGGTGTTTCTTCTCCTGTAGGCTCAGAGGCTGTGCTTGTGGAGGATCAGGAGCAGACTGGTGAGAATTTGGACTCTATTTTTCTGGCTTCTTTCTTTGCTTGGATAGCTAATCACGAACCTTGAATGGACATCCTACCTCCTGCATCTTTTTGCAACTAGTACATCAAGTCTGTGATGTTTTGAGATTTCTCCTGTGGCTTATGACTTTTCTCCTTCTTTGTAGGGGGAAAGTCGTTTGGCTTATTGCCTAGTCTTTCCATCATCACCAGACATTGCTGTGCATACTCATGGACATGCAGATCAATTGAGTGAAACTGCTGCCATCCTTGTCCTCCCTGTTTATCGGATCAACATGCCTTAGCTTTCCATTGCTTGTATGACCCATATTTAGATTCCCAGACGTTGGATCCTCTTTCTGGTTCTAGGCCTGATGCCTTTATTCATCTTAACCTCTTTCAGTTTTCTAGGATTCAACTGTCCCTTACAAGAGTTTTGCATGTTTATCTTCTTTGCCACTGTTGTCTGAGGCCTTTCATAGGTCTCCTGCTCAATTTTCAGTAGATCTTAGTCACTTGTTTACTTCCATTTTGGTAAGGTTATCAGTTTCTGCTCATTCCTTGGTCTCTTGGTTGGTTTGTTGCTGGGATCTTCGAGGGATACCTTGCTTAAGGGTGGTCGACTTCCTTCCTCGGCCTTTAGAAGTTTGGAGAAGTTCCTTTTCTCAGATATTCAATTTTTGTAGGTATTCCAGATTCCATGGAATCTCGGGTGGATGCGGCCCATTTCCACTTTTTTATTTAGACACTAACCTCCCGCCTTTTTTAAGTTTTCTAACTGATGGTTTACTGCAACTCCCATTTGGGTTTCCAAACCACCCGTGTCTGCTCCACGTTCTATCAAAACACAAGGGAGATTCCACCATTATCAGTGGGCATCCTATTCTCATGTGGAGCACCAACAACAGCATAGGTGACTATGCTATGGGACCCTGGCTTGTGCAGGCTCAACTCAAATGGTCTGGGTCTTTATGGGAGACCTTTGCATCCAATCAGAGGGTTGGTCCTTTCTTTCATGTCTTCTCCTCCATTGTCTACCATAACTGGTGACCTGTCATCAACTTTTCTTGTGTCAATCATTTACTACAGCCTCCTCAGTTTACCATGGAGTCATTTGTTTCCCTCTGGTGGCACTTTTGCACCTGGTCTATGGATGAAAAAGTGTGATGTCCCTGATGCCTCCCTTCATATTTCAATCATGGAGTCTTCATCTTTGTTTGTCTGTTTTGTGCACGAGAGACAGCTTTTTCATTTCCGTGCTCTACCATTTAGCTCGCATCCATCCCATATGTCTTTTGCTGCATAGTCACTCTTTCCTACCACTTGGCACAGCTTCACACATGAGCTCTTTCTTCTGAAGCTGTGAGAGCTGGGTTTCTCATCCAAATGGAAAGTCTATTCTTACTCCCACGTAGTACCTCATCTATTTAGGGGTATTTTTAAATTAACGTCTCAGTTGGGCCCAACCTTCTCCTCTATGACTTCAGGCCATGGAATGAGCCATTCTTTTAAAACTGTTGTCTCCTTCTCCACTGGTGCATATGGTTTGTTCTCTTTTGGGGATGTGGGCATCCTTGGAATTATTTATTCCTTTAGGTCAGGCCCACATGTGTTCCCTTCAGTGGTCATTATGCAATCATTGAAACATTGCAAGGATGCGTTGGATTGTCTGGTGACCCTGTCGGCTTCCAGCCCATTCGATACTGGCTGATGGTTGTATAGGGACAACACAACAGTAGGTGTCTGTCTCCTGCTCCCATGTCCTGAGATATATCTTTTCACGGATGCTTCTCTCCAGGGATGGGAGCTTGTATAGGGAATATGGAATTCAAAGGCCTCTGGACAGAAGAGGAATCTTCTCTCCACATCATTCTTCTAGGTGATCTCCTAGATTTTCAAGCAAGGGGTCACTCACCCCAGTTCTCTTTGTTTTCAGACATTGGATCTTCTCTTTTGGGTTCACAATCATGGCATGTTCCAGATTATGAATTTAGTTGCCGAACAGTTATCTCGACCAAACGGAGTCCTTCCCACAGAATGGATGCTTCATCCACAAGTTTTTTTGTTGGATCTGTTCTCGTCTCGGGACGGTACTTTTGCCACAGACTGGAATGGCCAGCTTCTGTTATTCTGGTCTCCTGTCCCTCACCTTCTGGATTTGGATGTAGATGCTCTCATCCAGGATGGGATAGGCCTTCATTTGAGATTCATGTTCACAGGACTCTTTACCATTCCATTTATATTCTGTTTTATCCAAAGAGGTCCTTTCTTTCCAAAACATCAATGGCTAGAGAAGGGGATAAGGCTTTCTCTCCTATTCATTTTCCCTCCATTTCTAATTTTATGAATGCTCAGATCTGGATCGACTTTTATGCCTCGTTTGGGCTCTTAAATGTTTTGTTGCAGACACTGAAGGGCTTCAGTGGATCATGGCAACATTTGTTTATTTGTTGAAATCCTAAGATGTCACATGACTTATCCCCTGTCACTTTGACAGGTTGGGTTTGCGAAGAGCATACCTGTTCAAGAAGTTGTGTGGATCCCACTAGTGTGCTATTGCTGTATCTCATTTTTGCACACCTCTTTTCTATGCATATGCTTTCTGTGTGGACCTTGCCCTCACTAGCCCCTCCACTTTGTCAATGTGGGATTCTAGCTAAAGTCTTAGTGGAGGTAAGTGTGTTTCAGAAGTTAACATTTTCCTATATCAAAAATGTATTTCTGATAATCTTTACCTCCTTTCACACTCTCCGCCCTTCCTCCCCATGAAATGGCTGGTTTTGGGCCTGTTAATTTGGACCATCTCAAAAAGTGAATAGGAAGTAATAATGGGGAGCTTATATACAGATCTGGTATAGTGGGTGCATTGACGTAGATGGAAAGAATCACAAGATTTAAATCACTGGGGGTAATATAGTGGGGTATAAAGGCTTGAGCAAGCAAGGTAAGATTCATACCAATGCTTAGATGGGCAAAGAAGAGGAACTTTCATTGGGATAAAGCTATAGTGTGAGAAGAAGTGAGAATTATCTGAAATACATTTTCGGTTTAGTTTCATGTGAACTATAGTGTTTATATAGTTGTGTTTGTTTTTTAGCTTAATTTAGCTCTTCTTTAACAACAGAGGCCAGTCACCAAGCGAGGCTGACATGAACCTACTGGAAACTGCTCGCCGCTGTGAACTGTATGGGATAAAAATGACTCCTGCGAAGGTAAGTTGCAACCTTTAAAGTATCATTTTAGAACAAACAAAAGATTGATGCTGTATGAAGTCTTAAATGCACATTTAATATTTGGTTTCAAGTTATTGTCAAGATGTATTAGAATGATCCAGTTTTTACATGAAATTTTATATGCATGTTGATGGTTGTTGATTTTCTAAGAAAAATTCAAATCAGCAGCCAAACTCCAAATTTTAGATAATACTTACAAATATATTATTAATAGTAAAATATTGGTTATATTAAAAACAGCATGTTCTAAACAGTAAGAATTTATATATATATATATTTTGTTCAGCATGAGAATGTTTTTTCTATCTCTGTAGCATTTATTTATAATATAGATTGAAATTATATAATTACTAGAAATACCAATTGCCCTTGGCTAAATTGAAGTGTTATTTTGCAAAGTCTAGATATTAAATAGTGGAGGAGATTGATAGAGAAAACATGAAACCAGAACAGTGTCCTTTGTAATTCTGTAGTATGTAAAATTGTTAAGTGTTTAGAAACAGCAAATATAATTTTGCATGCACTGTGACCTTTGTTTGCTTCTTATCTCTTCATGAGGCTGAAGAATTGATTATTTTGAAAAAAAAATGAATAAATTAGACTCGTACACAAACTTGTGTCTGTATTTTTTGTAGTTTTAACATCAGAAGTGCATAAAATTGCAATTTTATTTCAGGACCATGATGGTGTACCCCTTAATCTTGCTGTTGCTCACATGGGAATACTAGTATTTCAGCACTCAACTAAAATCACCACCTTTTCTTGGGCAAAAATACGAAAGCTTAGTTTCAAGAGGAGGAGGTTTATAATCAAACTACATCCAGAAGGCTCTGTAAGTATAGTCTTTTTTTTTTCTTTTATTAGTAAACATTCCACTGTTTCCAAACATATTGTTTATTTTATTTTGTGGGAGAAGGAGCTAAGCAGTGTGAAGCTGAAAAAGAAAGTATGATGATATATAATTTTCTTCAAATTTAAGTTTGTATAAATTTTACAAATGAAGAACATGAACACAAACATCAAAACTTTGTTAGTGAGAGTATATAGAAGGTCAACAAATCATGTTTTATGATTTAGTTTAAAGGCTATAAGAATTATGCCTTGCCTTAGTAATTACTTTATCACAATCAGTAACTTACGTTAAATTCTGTACTTCTCAAAGTGGTAGTAAATAAATTAGAGTGGAGAGAAGACCTAGAGAACAAATGTTGCAATTCTCATATTAGGGGAGTTTGAGGATTTTTTAAAACTTAAGTTGTTAAAAACCAAAGATATTGAATGATAGGCATAATACAATATAAACTGACCAATAAGGCAAGAGAACATGCAAAATGGTACATAAGAATGATATTTAGTATTTTGTTTTGAATTTTTTTTTTTGAATTAAGGAATTAAAACATATATACTATTAAAATTTGGTTTGTTAACTATGTTTTGATGCCAAGTTTATTTGTATTCAATGATATTAAAATAGTTTAATTAAATTTTGATAGGCATAATACAATATAAACTGACCAATAAGGCAAGAGAACATGCAAAATGGTACATAAGAATGATATTTAGTATTTTGATTTGAATTTTCTTTTTGAATTAGGGAATTAAAACATATATACTATTAAAATTTGGTTTGTTAACTATGTTTTGATGCCAAGTTTATTTGTATTCGATGATATTAAAATAGTTTAATTAAATTTTCAATATAACTCTCTAAGAGATTGTGACATGTGCACTTTGACCTACCCATAGTGAGAAGGTTAATGTGGTAGTACTGAATTTTTTAAAGCTACAACATAAAACAGTATAATTAGTTGGTTTAAAAAATAATTTTATTTATTGCCTGCTTCCTATCCTTGAATATTTAGTATTCATGTTTTTACAAAAACTGAAATTGCAGTGCAATGTTTTATTTTAGTTTGACTGGCATGAATGTTATTTATGTTTCTTCACTTTGCAGGGTTTCTACAAGGATGCTGTGGAGTTTTTCTTTGAAGGGAGAAACAGCTGCAAGAATTTCTGGAAAAAGGGTATAGAAAATCATGGGTTCTTTCGCTGCTCAGAAGTCCGCAAGTTGCCTCGCCAGAGAGCCCGTATCTTCAGTCGAGGATCGTCATTTCGGTGTGTGTTGAATTTATGTTTCCAGTAAAAGCCCACATGATAAATTTGGTTTATGTTTGCTCATAGTAACCATAAATGTTTGTGGAAATTCTAAATGACAAAAATATATAATGAAAGAACTTACTGCTTTCAATATTTATGGCTAACATTTAGGCCATGTGCTCACTTAACCCTCTTGCAACAGGCAGGTCAAAGTGCACATGTCATAATGTTTTAGAGAATTGCATTCAAAGTTTAATTAGACTTCTTTATTATAATTATAACTTGACATAAAAACGTAGTTAATAAATCAAATGTTGATATTGTATAAGTTCTTAAGTTTATAAAGAAATATTTTAAAAAATTTTACCCTAGTATGAGAATTATGACATTTGCTCTCTAGGTATCCCATCTTCTCTAATTTATTCACCACCACTCTGAGAAGTATAGAATTTATTATAAATTAAAAATTTTAATAATGTTATTACTCAAAGAATAATTTTTATAGCTTTCAATCTTATTTGGTTACAGAGCCATAAAATCGAAAATCAAACCCCCTCTTGCCATGCTCACTTGTCACATCTTTTCTTCCACAAATTGCAAAAAGTTCTCTCTGACATTTAGTACTATATTATTTATATCCAATAGAAAGCCAATTTTTTAATCTATCAAATGACATATTACATTGTTTTCTGTTCAGAGAATTGTCTATTTCACTTCTAGTTCAAACTTTATTCCCACAGGAAATGCATCAGTGAGCTTAGATGAATTTTTAACAGTGCCTATCACATAGTTAGAAAACCAGAATAATTATGATAGTTATAGGACATTGGCTGCTTTTTTACGTGTTATTATTCTGTACTTTTAGGTGCATTATATAATTAAATAAAAAGTTACTTAATGTAGTAGTATCATTAGTATTAAAAAAGTAGAGTTAAGTTTAATTGACAGCTGTAAGATCCACATAAGTATTATATTTCTTATTTTTCTTGTGTATTCTTTATTTATTATTATAAAAGTAACTAAAATTTAAAAATTAGAAACGTTAGGCTAGATAAGGTTAAATTAGATAAGAAAGAAAAATAACACTGATAACAAATTTTTCATGAGGTATGTTAGCAAGTTAGCTTGTGTGTTACATAATTTGATAGGGTAGTGTGAGCTACATGTTCTTCAAGTGATTTACAATTTGTGTGGTGACATTAGTCGTTAGACATATTTCAAAAGGCAAGGACACAATAAAATTTTAGTAGAAATAGATGTATACTGTTACTAGTTTTAAGCTATTTAGGATAAATAGTTATGGTTTTCTGTTACAAATTAGAGTCATTCTAAAAAGAAATTAAAGGGTAATTTAATTTCTTTTATGGTGGTTACTAGGTTGGTCAATTTGACCAACCCTGTATAAAGTTATGGTTGAGAAAATATATAGTTTTACTAAAAAACATATGAAGTTTGTTGAGGACGTTTTAGAGATTATGCGAATAAGTATGAGAACTTTCAGATAAAAAACTATTTTTAATCACTTTGCACGTGGAGCAATCCACATATAATCATGGAGATATCTTTTGTAAAAATACTTCATTAAAAATTCAGATTTTTTTTTCTAGTGAAGACTTATAAAAACACAAAACATGTTAAAAGTTATAATATAAAAACTCTAAAGATCAATTTGGAGATCAAGATTTAGGTCAAATTGACCGAGCCTGTAGTGAGAGAGATATACGTTACAATATTTATTTCAGGGAAACAGCCACATTTCAGTTATAATACATTATTACTATTTACAAATAAGTTCTTAAATTTCAGCTCTTTTTCTTAAAACATAGAACAGTAAATAAAGAAGTATAGAAAACAATTATCTCTTCTAGTTACAAACTTTGTACTTGTTTGGTGCTTGCCATAAGCTGTTAAGCCTTATCAAATTTTGCATGTGAAGGACATAAAACAAAATAATTTTTTTTTAGGTTTTATATATGCATTTGGAAATAAAAAAATCTTAAATTACTATATCAATACCACAGAATTCCACAATAATTTATGAAGCTTAGAAAATAAGCAGTATTTGGGTCTAGAAAATATTATTTTTAGAGCTCACTAATATCTTACCTTTCTGCATGGAATCTACCATGAAAACAAAGGTTTTCCCACATAAATACTTTACAAAGGATGAGAAAGCCACTAGGGGGACATTCTGAGATTTTGGTTTTTTGTACACACTTCATTGGGAGAAGTAAGTGTACATAAGCAAGTAATTTCAAAAATGGAAGAAGTGAGTGGGGCCACCGTGGTTGAATCACTAAATATATTAATATCTCGGGGAAAATAGAAAAGATAAGAGGTTCTTATCATACATTCTAGCTTGTCAATTTGGTAATTTGAGTTTCTAATTCATAAGAAACTATAGACTTTGTATTTGGACATCCCAAACATCTAATTTGAACCAATGCT